CATATTGTTATTTGTTCATACATTTTAAATAGTGCAATAACTTAAGTAGAAAAAAGTAGTTAAGGAATAATTTCAAAAGAAAAATACACGGTACATCCAAAAATGTTTTTATACAAGGCTGTAGAAAAAAGTCAAACTTGGATAGAAGATAAAATTGATAACCCGCCTCTCACGTACAGTGACCTTTGCCAGCAACTAGAGGCAGCTACATTGAGTTTGTTGAATGCGTCTACATCTATCATAAGTAAAGCTTTTTTCAATAAATGTAATAATGTTAACTTGAGGATCTATGAAAAAGCAATACCGTAGTTCCAACTACAGAAAATTATACAAATAACAAAGAATAAATATTCGACTATTTCAATATAAAACAAAACATTATTTTGTTCATTTACATCACCAAGATGAAAATAAAGACTACGTAGATGTCGAGGAAACAACGCCATCATTATCTCAGTCAACACCACATCCTACAGCAGCAGAAAAACGTGACCATAGTGAATCAAAACATTAAGTCACTAAACAAGTACAATCAACAGCGGGTATGAACTATTTAGAAACAAAAACAACTAAATCTTACGATGTACACATATATGTCTTAGCTTCATTAAAAATAAAGTATTTATGATTTACTAAACACAAGTAATACTTAGAATAATTTCATTTGTTTATCATGTATTACTATAGAAATATTGAGTCGCCTTGAGCAGATAGAGACAGCCATATCTTCTCTACAAGACGTCAGTCGACTTGAGCAGATAGAGACAGTCATATCTTCTCTACAAGACGTCAGTCGACTTGAGCAGATAGAGACAGCCATATCTTCTCTACAAGACGTCAGTCGACTTGAGCAGATAGAGACAGCCATATCTTCTCTGCAAGACGTCAGTCGACTTGAGCAGATAGAGACATCCATATCTTCTCTACAAGACGTCAGTCGACTTGAGCAGATAGAGACAGCCATATCTTCTCTACAAGACGTCAGTCGACTTGAGCAGATAGAGACAGCTATATCTTCTCTACAAGACGTCAGTCGACTTGAGCAGATAGAGACAGCCATATCTTCTCTACAAGACGTCAGTCGACTTGAGCAGATAGAGACAGCCATATCTTCTCTACAAGACGTCAATGACAAGTTTACAGATGACATATCAGAAATAAAACAATGGAGAGACAACTTTGTAACAGAACAGAGTGACATGGGGGTAAACATTGAACAACTGACTAAAAAACAAAAACAGAATTTTAAAAACCTCAGAAAACAAATGAGTGAACAAGATAACAAAGTAAAGGAGCTTAACAAAGAAATTGAAAGTTTAAAAGAAAAAGAAACCAAGTCAAACAAAATACTAGAGAAACTGTCTCTAGATATGAAAGAATATGAAAACAACTTAAACAAAATAAATAAAGAGATGCAAGCTTACACAGATAAAACAGACAGTATAACACATGAAATTAAAAGACTTTCTGATTTAATTGTTTCTTTACAATATGAAAATAATAAAACCTTTGCCAAAACATCAACCGGATTTGAAAAGTTGCAATCAAGGGTAAATTTTTAATTTGCTAAGTATTTTGAACACATTTCAATTCCTTTTTGCCAGCTAATGTACATCACATTCTTAATTAAAAGGCATTTGATTAATTTAACATATAATCATACCGTTTATTTTAATGGTAATTTTATGTGAGTTTTAATGTACAAAAAATAGTTTAACTTATAAATCTTTAATTCTGATCGTCGGTATTGTATTTAGCACAGTGTTATGTACAACTCCTACAACAAAGATTGATGCCCATTGACAAACTAATTCAAACCTTTAACCAGAACTTGTAAAATAGTAAAGAAAAAATTAATAAGGTATATTTGTAATGATTTTATAAAACTAAAATTATTCACAACATTGATAAATTCTACATTACTCAATACAAGTATGTTATTAGACTATTTAGTATTTACAGAGAAAAAAATACTTTAATGAGAATATACGTTTAATTTTTTTATATTCTAACAAGTTGACATTATTGTATTTAGTGTACCAGTCCTATATTATAGCTTATGTAAATATATTGTGATGCTTTCATTTATTTATTATATTTTAATTTAGCTAGGTGAACTTGAAAATAGTATTTCCAAGTTGTCCAACGATTTTCATCGCATCGGTAAGTGTGATGGTACGAATTGATCTCGTTTCAGGTTCTTCTAGTTGCACCAGTTGTGAGGGTGGGGATTTTTACGAAGGCGAAACGAATGAATCCAATAACACAAGTTCAAATATAAAATATAGAATGTTCTTTATTAAAATTATAAAATCAAGTTTCTACCTAACAAACTTATTCTATACTCTCTACTACTACTACTGTCTGCCGTTTCCTAGATCTACCTATCTGACCGCTCTCTTCACTAATTATCAACTGTTACCTAGCCCTACATATCTCGACCGTCACTGACCACTTCCTAACACCTTCTCTACTCTTCGCTAGCTACCTATCAACTGCTGGCCTATCTCTCTACTGACCCACGCCTCAATGGTCAGCTGACCGTCCCACGTGACCGGTCAGTTCCCGTATTTTTATTGGTCTCTCTCTGACCAACTCGCTATAGCCTGTTTCTGCTATCTACTTGACCTCTCCGACGCAACCTTGCGTCATCACAGTAAGTTTGGTTTAAAAATAGTTAAAAGCATATTTATTTAACAGTAGTGATTTAATGACAATTCTACATTTTGATTTTTTCGTTAAAATGTAACAATAGTAAAAGCTATCATGTAATTCACAATGATAACCAATCGGTTAATGTTTTATACGCTTCATTACCATTGTTTAATATTCTACCCTAAATCTCTCACATTTTGTAAAAATTATTGCACTCTCTGCCTTTCCATTACACGGACATAACCACTTGTTAAACAATGTTCGTTATCCAGACAGACCATAACGTGATGTTCGTTAGCCAGACAGACCATAACGTGATGTTCGTTAGCCAGACAGACCATAACGTGATGTTCGTTAGCCAGACAGACCATAACGTGATGTTCGTTAGCCAGACAGACCATAACGTGATGTTCGTTAGCCAGACAGACCATAACGTGATGTTCGTTAGCCAGACAGACCATAACGTGATGTTCGTTAGCCAGACAGACCATAACGTGATGTTCGTTAGCCAGACAGACCATAACGTGATGTTCGTTAGCCAGACAGACCATAACGTGATGTTCGTTAGCCAGACATACCATAACGTGATGTTCGTTAGCCAGACAGACCATAACGTGATGTTCGTTAGCCAGACAGACCATAACGTGATGTTCGTTAGCCAGACAGACCATAACGTGATGTTCGTTAGCCAGACAGACCATAACTTGATGTTCGTTACCCAGACAGACCATAAGGTGATGTTCGTTAGCCAGACAGACCATAACGTGATGTTCGTTAGCCAGACAGACCATAACGTGATGTTCGTTAGCCAGACAGACCATAACGTGATGTTCGTTAGCCAGACGGACCATAACGTGATGTTCGTTAGCCAGACAGACCATAACGTTATAAAGAATGGAACATTTCACTCACCCATAGTGCCAGTCTCTAGACCAGTGGGTTTCCGTCAGGTGTTTGTTTCCTCACCTGGTACATTACACAACCTGGTTTGTATGAGGTACCATTCGATATTTACAGAGTTACAGTTTAAGTAAACTAATTTCAACGTCACGTCATCCCTTTATGTTTCTAATATTACGACGATGCCCCGTTAGAGATAGTGATTAAATCTAAAATAAAATAATAACTTGAAAACATTTATAATTGTCGCATTTTAAACATTTTAATATCTCATTAATTGACTGTAACCTGAAATGAAAAATACAAAAGGTAGACTATGCAGATCTTGTTATCGGTCATTATTAATTACAACAGAACAACTTTAGTTCTAGTAATTCTTTTTTCAATAGATAATCCATATACAATAAAACTGCCCGAATCGTCAATTGCCGAATGCGACAAATGCCCGAACGGACACTTGCCCGAATGGGACAAATGCCCAAAAGCCACTTACCCGAAGACCTTTTGCCCGAAAAATGATAACATTACAGATTACCCAAAAGTCATTCTTAATCAACTTAAATTTGAAATTTTGATAATTAAATAAATGTCTTACCAAATTGAAAGAGAACAAAATACTATTTAATATCTTCAAGCATTCATTATGAATTAATTAGTATTTCCTATATTATAGAAAGTGTCGACTACACCGTGTCATAAACGCTATCAAACCACCGCAACACGTCGGCTAAACAAGGTTTTCAAAACTTACATCAAGACAGTATAAAAACACCGCCGCCAACATAGCATTACATTATTAAAGAATAACGTTTTTTACAGCAATTTCTCAATTTTCAAACATTAAATGTTAAATCTTAAAAGTATACACATTTTCAAAAAAATAAACACATATGTTTTCATGCCCAGAATTGTGTTATCATAATGTCAAACTTGAATTGATTAAGAATGTCTATTTGATATTTAACAAATGTCCATTCGGATATATGTCGCATTTGGCCAAGTGTCCATTCGGAAATCGGCCTTGGGGCAAACGGCATTTGGGCAAGTGTATTTCATGAATTTGTCGTACATCCGGTTTTAGCATAACGTATTTAACATTTGTTGTACGTTTTGTGACGTTTTAATTGACCTGCTAAACTGGTACGGTCAATACGTGGGAAACGATAAACTAACACCACACAAACTAAGGACCGTACTAAACTAGTAGTCTAGTGTTTCAATTTATGGTCTTTGACAAAGTTATGTAAACATTATGGATTCTTATATACAGTTTATTTTTTTGAAAAATTATTGTTTGATTTGGGTTTGTCAATTTTACTTACATTATAAACTGCACACAAAACACATATAATGAGATGATAACATAAATTAGACAATTTACAAAATATTATGGATCAAATAGTCAGAACATTCGTAAAATTAAACATATGTTTTCTAATCAACAGAGTCACGTGTATGTAACAGATATGCTTGTTATATGGAGTTTGCTAATCCCACACCTGTCAGTGATGGATCAATTATTTCAACCTTTGGTGACGTGAGTGAATATAACGGTCAACATTTTAATCAAACAACAGGGAAATTTATTTCACCACATGATGGTTTATATCTTGTCTGTGTGACACTAAATGAGAGTGAAGATAAACAGATTGAAGTTGGTGTGATGTTTGAAGGCGAGTGGTGTAAGTTTATAGAAGTGAAATGTGCCGACACTAGCGCTGCTGGGTCAGTGGTTGTTGACATGAAGAAAGGTCAAGAAATTTACCTTGAAGTGTATAACGCAGATCAAGGCGCAACGTTATCCTGCTACAGTAGTTTTACTATCGTTAGTTTATAGAAGTACAACACAAAATATGGTGGATGGTTAATTCTCAAAACAAAACATGTAACCACCATGTTAAACACATGCTAACAACTAACTACATTTGTAGACTACATGTATATGTTACGGTCAAAGCCCGAAGTGCGGCCAAAGCGCGGATTGGCCGGCCAATCCGCGCATTGGCCGGCTCTCGTGGCCAAAGCCCGAAGAACTTAGCACTAAGATCGTATTTCGTACATTTGCCGACCAATGCGCGCACCAATGGCCTGGACGTACTGGCCAAAGTCCGAAGCGCTTAAACTTGACAGCGTATTTCGTACATTGGCCGGCCAATGCGCGCACTGGCCGGGATGTCCTGGCCAATGTTCTATCTAGACTAAGTTGTGATCGTATTTTCATTATTCTGGGTGATTTTCATTGAGAGTAATTTATTGTTTAGCTCTTGTTTGTATAGCATTCCATATGCAAGGCGACATGGATCAAAAGGGCCGTCAGACCATGAGACAGACTTAGCAGATGGCTGTCAAAAGAAAAAAAATGTAAATCCATGTTAGTTTCCATATATGGGCTCTCGATAAAATAGTTACTGAGGAAGATCTTGAGAACATTGAACAAGAAATGGAGGTTGCCATAAATGCAACGACATCCTCAGCTAACACATCTGCTACCGTGGCGGAACGTCCAGACCAGTTGCGTGACAATAACGTGGCGAACAGATTCTGTATAGTTTGTGAAAAACATTGTAGTGTAGCTCATTCTTGTGGATCATGTGGCAACGATGTCCATGCTATTTGTGGAATACCCAATGAAGCAGACGAAGGGCACGGAGGGAACATTACCTGCAGATTGTGTCACAACAAACAAGACATCATCGAACACAGATCAGCAGCTCATACTGGCTTGCAAACTCAAGGTGCTAAGATGCTTAAAACATCAAATACAAAATTTAAAGATGGTGAAGTGGGTGACAATGTACGCATCCGTTTTCCAGATGTTGACAGAGGTCACGGTGATCCCCGAAGCGTGATTGCAGTTGTCATGACAACGGTTTCTACAAATTAGAAACGGAACATTGTGTTCTAAAACAACTGTATGCTAGAAGTGAGTTTTCAATTCTTCACGAAAAACTGCTCTTATTGTCGTCAGTTGGCACTGAGGAAAAATCACTACGAACCATCGCATCTTCACAATCATTGACTGGGGGCCAAGGCTACACTCGCTGCAATTGCACAACTAAGTGCACAACCAATCGCTGCAAGTGTAAAAATAACAAGCTGCTATGTAATTCTAAATGCCATAAAAGTTCAACTTGTTGTAACAAATTATGATATTGATAGATTGAGACTATAGTACAATAAAAACATTTGAATGTTTCTGTCATTTGCTTTAATTAATAATCAATAAAGACTTAATTTCATGATCCGTACGGCATAAAAAAAACCCAAAATCTGCTCATGATCTTCTAATTCGGACTTTGGCCTGTCGTCCCTAGCCAGATGATCTTCTAATTAAGAGCTATTTCAGACTTTGGCCGGTCCACCATGGCCAGTCTGCGGATTGGGCGGCCAAAGCCCGAAATCAAGCAACGTTTCGGACTTTGACCGACCTATGGGAGGCGATATTGGCCAATGCGCAGATTGGCCGGCCAATCCTAGCATTGGCCGACTTCGGGCTTTGACCGTAACATATACAAAAAACTAATGATTTCATGTTATTGGTTTAGCCGTCAGTACACATTTCAAACTGATTGTATGTGATCGCCAATTAATATGTTCTACTTGACTACAATATACATATACGATAGCTAAAATTTTACATATCTTGTAACGCTACTGTAAGAGAGCTTTACGACAAGCTTTGAGACAAATCTAATGAACAATTTAAAAGACGAATGTTTAAATATAAATTCACAGGACAACAATTTGTGTCTGATAATTTAATATAATAATTCATTTTATTTGTAAATATATTGGAATATGATTATTAAATGTAAAAAAACAATTAGATCTAATACGTCGCCGCTTTTCTTGATTGTGATTTTAGTCTGTAGCATTGTATCTGTAAATGAATACCTACCCAATATACACACCGATACACACCCCCACTACACATAAAAAAATAGGCTGTTCATTTATATATATATATATATATATATATATATATATATATATATATATATATATATATATATATAAAAGATAGGCATTTATGTTCAAATATCTTTGTTCTCATGTATGAATATATATTATAAATTATATATGTGACCTAGGCAAGTTGCATACCCTGCTCGCAGCGCCAAATGTAACGAGACTATTTGCCTGTAGTGCCAAATGTTAACGAGTTCTGCTCGACAACGCCAAATGTTACCGAGTCTAACCACTCATTCTAACACAACATCGACCACAGTATAGATACTCGAAGATGCAGGTTCGCTATTGATCCTTTTATTACATGGATCAAAGAAATACTTCACAATAATATAGTGAATCAAAAGGAATGCTTCACAATAATAGTCTGAATCAACTGACCCCCAACAGTCCTCACTAGTCTTCACATAACTGAATGCACATGTCTATCGTCCTTCTTAACACAATACGGCTAACCCGTTCAATAACCAACTTGATACTGCCACACTGACTGACTGATCGAGAGAGAGAGCGAGCTCAGCCGTCGCCTTCCTATATATTCCCTTCGTATTCGTAATCGTATTCGGTTCTATCATAATCGTAATCGTAATCGATTCTAATCGTTGCGTCAGAATGTTAATTACGCCGCTTCTGTCGTACAGTCCGATTTAATAAGCCATCTGCATCCTGTCGCATCAAAGTTGACAGACCGTATTGCGTTCTTATCGTATCGCTTCCCCAGATACTACGCCTTGGCTTTCTGATCGTTATCAGCCAACACCTGCGTTATTGCATCAGACTGTAATACGTTGTTATGTCTCTGGTAACTTCCCCTAGTTACATCCACCCCTGCTTTTTTTGTGTGTTATCAACCACAAACAACGATTGGCAGGTGCAGTCCTTCAATGTCAATCGCACCACCGTAAAAAAAAATTTATTGTTCCACTCACTGTCAATGTCGTCACATTCGTATAAGATTGACAGTTATCCCTATTTCACATATCAAATGTGTCTACATCATCTTCCTCAGACACAAAACAGTTCTAGAATTCACATCCACCTTTTTTCGTTTGGTGCCTTCACCAGTTCACTTTTATAACTTTTTGAACAGTCTGTTCTCATACCAGCGCGACCATGAAAGAATTGATGGTTGCCGACGAAAAATTTCGTATTCTTTCTGTTTCTCAAACTTCTCCGCGGACCACTTATCTGATGGTCTACTGTCTCTCTGCTTCTGGAGGGACCGGGATCCTCCTTGTTGCCGGTATCCTCCCCTTGTGTATCGCTGTTGCTCTGTTGATGGTGACATGGTTCCGGGATGGGTATGTGAATTTCCGTTATAGTTTCCGGTTCCCTAATTGTCTTGGGTTTCCTTGTGTGTAACTGCTCTTCTTGACTATGACAATATTTCTTTAATTGAGCAATATTCGCCCACCGATCCGGTTTGGTGTGATCGATGGGTCTTATCTTAAAGGGGCCACCTGCTACTTTAGGCATCTCCACGACTTGCCATATCTCCTGTCCCCAGAGGTCGTGGATTTTGTTTCTGCCTAACGGGTGGCTACGCAGTAATACCCTGTCGTTCAGTTTGAGTGGCGGGTCCTTTGTCTGTACCGGCGGTTCCCTTCGCCGTGCTTCATGTTCTAGTCTTTCCTGTACTACCCTGTACATTTCTCTAATTCGTCTCATATGTTCATTCACATATTCCAGTGCAGTGTATGAGCCAGTCATACTCTCCTTTTTTTCTAGGAACAAGTCAAGGGGGAGTCGAGCCTCCCGTCCGAACAGCAACATGTGTGGCGAAAAGCCGGTTGTGGCATGGGGGGGTGCAGTTGTATAGATATACCAACTCCGGGAGAAAATCAGGCCAACGTTTTTTCTGTTCAGGTTCTAGAGTACGCAGCAAATCATGCATGCTGCGGTTGAACCGCTCGCACTGTCCGTTTCCTTTCGGATTAAATGTGGTTGTTCTAGATTTGTTGATCCCGTAGTGGCTGCACAGTTGGTTAATTACTTCTGACTCAAAGGCCCTTCCTTGGTCAGAGTGTAATTGTCTTGGTATGCCATATTTGATGAACCAATGTTCTATTAAGACCTTTGCCACTGTTTTGGCAGTCTGATCTCGTGTGGGCACCGCCACAGTCTATTTGGTGAATACATCAGTCATTACCAACACATGTTCCGTCCCGTCCGATGATTGTTCCAACGACGTAAAGTCCATAGCCACAATCTCTAGTGGTTTTGTCGCCAGTAAGTGTCCTGATGGCTGTCTCATTTTGACAACTGGCATTTTCGCATGCTGACACCTAACACAAGCCTCACAATGGCGTTTGACCTCCATCTCCATATTGGGCCAGTAACACCTTCGTCGTAATATTTTGTGCGTCCTGTCCTGACCCTGGTGTCCTGCCCTGTCATGTGCCAACCTTAGCACTTCTTCTCGTAATTGTCCAGGCACCACCACCTGGTGTATTGTCCCATCAATTTGGTCATGAATTCTCCGCATGAGAACACCATCCTTTATACTGAGACGGTCCCACTGACACAGTATTTTCTTTGTTTCTCGACCAAATTGATCTCTTTCCCTTCTTCCTGGGAATTTTTGTTCCTGGACGTGTTTCAACAGCGGCTGTAAGCCACTATCCGTTCTCTGGGCATCTCTTATCTCTTTGTGATTAAGGCAATTGAAATCACCGATGTCCATATGTCCGGGCTCTGTGGAAATGTGCTCCACCCCGGTCTGTCCGTTCTGCCTCACTTGCACCCCGTGAGGGATATCTGTTGACGCTCTGACCTCACATATTCCTGTCAGCGTTTCTTCCTCATCGCCCGGTCTCTCGTAAGGATTCCTTGATAAGGCGTCCGCATTGCCATTGG